TTAAACAAAACCCCATTTTCCCGTGGAAAATTTGAAGACGACGTAGACTTTTTATCAACGGGATAGAATGACAGTTATTATTATGGACGTCGTGGATAAAATATAATTGAAATTATAGGGCAGGTAAAAATGAGAAAAATCCGTTTAAGTAAGGTAATAACTATTGGCAGAATGTGTTTTCCGCAGCCCAAGGGAATTGAAATTTATTCAAAATCTAAAAATATAAAGTATTCAAATAAGTTCCGTATTATTTTGCAAGATAATAAATGTAACAATTTTTAAAATAAACTTTAAGAGGCAAGAAGGCATTTCAGAAATTTGCCTAACACCTTAGGGTTAACATATCTTCATATATCTAATGTTTGCCGTCAAGGAGGCAGTACAAACTTTAATAGGACGAATAACCGAAAGAACCGCATTGACAGATTGTCCGCATGTTAAATGTATAGGTTGGTTTAATGACTTGATATCAAATGCTCTAGCCGATGCGCAATTTCATATCATGTAAACAACTGTCACTGGTAATAACTGAAAAGTGTATCTTTAGATTATAAGCGATGGATGACATGAAATGCATTTTCAGAACTCGTTGTCCCGGCCTTCGTTAGATGGACTATCTAAAGAAATTTGAACCAAAATTCTGAAATGCTTTTCCTTATGAAGATATAAACTAAGTCAGCCTGCAGCATAAATCTATAATACAGTGAGTGGCCTACCTCATGAAATGTTGGCTGAAATTCAAAAATGCGTTTTGGATAAGGAAGGATTACTTGGTCGCAGTTGTAATAATGATAATCTTAAGGCATATTCAGATGCCACTTTAGACTTGGCAAGATTTTGGTTTTAAAATGCACTTCTTTTTCATCTTCTATAGGAAGCCTGCTTGGCGTAAAATGACTACTTAAGTAGCACACATTTTTCCCATTGATTTTCGATGGTCTTGCAACATCAAATATATTTTGTAGAAACCATGAATAAAAATACGCTTTCTTTTAGTTTACCGATAGGACTTTACGTCCTTGTTTTAGTTTATACCTAAAAACAGCATAATTTGGTTTTTAACAAGTTTTTAATTGCCGAATAATTTGAAGCCTGAACCTTCATTCTACTAACACTTAGTAAGTTCCCTCTTCAAGGTGCATGCGTTCCGCTTAAAGACAATCACATATTTTTCTATACCATTTAAGAGATATTATACAGAGCCCATTAACTTTTGCAATGGCTGCGGACCATGTTGTACATTTAATGAGGTGCAGTGGTAAACGTCCAATGTGAATAGACATTTCGCGGTTTTAAAATGTTTCATTATTAGAAACTGTTTTTAAAACCTAATTATTCTCCTTCCTCAAGCATAAAATATGAAAAAGACGTAAATGTCTATCGACGAACCAAAAGAAAGCCTATTTTTGTTTATTGTTTCTATAAAATGTATTTGAATTTGCAAGACCATCGAAAATCAATGGAAAAAATGCATGCTACTTAAGTAGTCATTTTTTTACAAATCAGGCTTGCTACAGTAGATTGAAAAGAACTGCATTAAAAAGCTGACATCTTTTCAAGTCTGAAATGTTATAAGAGTATGCCACAGGATAAACACTATTACAACCTCGACCCAGAAATCCTTCCTAATCGAAAACGCATTTTAGAATTTCCGCAAACATTTCCTGAAAAAGGTTACTCGCTGTATATCAGGTGCTGCAGTATGCCACCTTTGAACTGGACGTTTTTCCTGATGCGTGCAAAACATACGCTTTGTGAAAAACGACTACTGGAGATGAATTCATTTTTAAGTGAAATTTAATGACCCCAAAAGTCCAATTAAATTTCGTAGAAATTATAGAAAAAATATTCAGTCGTTCGCTTATTCGACCGATAATTACGCCTTTTTAATTTAATGCTCGAAGTAAAGACAGAATTCTGTTTTTCAAAAAGGATTCGGATTAGACCATGGGTTCTGATTTTGGTTCAAGTTTGCATTTTTCGTTAGACTAGGGGTTATTTTTGGGACAGGGTTTTTATAAGGCCTAGGGTAAGGGTCGACGTTTTTAAACGGCTAAATGAGTAACGCTCGGGCAAGCCGTGCATTTCGTGCATGAAGTCGACAGTATTTTTCCGTTAGGCAAATCTATTTGGGCAAAATTCTAAAGCTTTGCAGTCCATTATTTTACTTGGAACTACCTCAGCAGCGCCAGCGCTTAAACGTTTAATATACTTTAAGTGCGTGTGTTGGACGAAATTTTAGGTATATACCTGTAAAAATCAACGCACTCAAACTATTGAAAGTAGCTTTTATTTTGACGTTTTTGCGAAGCAAATCGAATGAACTGTCTGCAGGAAATATATATTTTGTGAACAACAGAGGTAAAAATCAATAACCTGCTTCTTACATTTTGGCGGGCATCGTTGTCTGCTCCGCAACTATTGTAGACTGGAGAATAAAAAGGTATACCGCACAGTTGCAATTGGGTTTTAAAGGATTTTAATCCGTGGTTATTAAATACGCGACTGCACCCGGTATAAAATTCCTCTTTTTGCAAAATTTTGTATTCTTTTTGAAAAGTTGAGTTGGAAAACGCGTGTTTTCGGTAATTCTTCGTCAGGGCAAAATAGTTGCATTAAGGAATGAAATGTGCAAAATTAATAGGCGTCTGAAGGGAAATAATTTCATTTACACTCATCTTCACCACGACGTCCTTAGAGCTTTGGAGTCGGGTAAGATAGTCTTTGACTGATGTTTTTGGATTGACTACACGGAGTGCCCATCACTATTATAAGGGATTTGTGGCGATATGCAGTCATTAGTTAAGTTTAGCGTTGTCCACGGCAGAGTGCGTTTGTGTCAAGGTTTTCTGAAAGCATAACTACGGATTCGTTAGTAAAAAGCAACTGCCGTTGGCTAAGCCCTTTAGAGATGCATGTTCGTGTCCGTTAGCAAACCTGAAATGCTTGCTTAGCATTGATTCAGTGACTCGTATTGATTAAATATGCGAGAAAAGAACTCGAAATCGACCGGGTCTCACCTCTATCTAGCCAGTCGAGCATATGCTTACACACCCTTTTTGTCAGGCGTCTCGTTGTGCGGCCAACGTATCACGCTCTACAGGAGCAAGGAAATGAGTCAATGCACATTCGGGTGGCCTCTAGGGGTAATCTGTCTTTACCTCTCGAACGTAGGAGGGGAGCGTTTGTGAAGCACAGGCGTCCCTTTGGCGCGGGGAATGTTCCCGTGATTGCCGTAGTTAAACGCTGTCGGACTACTTCGCTCGTTGCGTCCTCTGCAAAAGTCAGTCTTATGCAACCATTTTTTCTGCAGTCACATCAGTGGGCATTTCTTTATTTCGCCATTTGCGAAGAAGGGAAGGCATGTCTGTAAATTACACGCCTTTTAGATATTTGCATTGCAGAGCCCACATGCGCCTTGTAATGATGACGAGATTTCTTTAAAGAAGAATGCTTAGCTCTACAAATCAATATTTAAATCTAAAAAACTACACTATCTGTGTGCAAATAAGCCTTCTAGGAGCTCTCTTGAGTGAGGCAATCACACTGCCGCGGAATCGATTTCGAAATCCAGACGATATTTTTGATGCTTTTTCGGTTATGAGACAGGTAAAGAAAAAATATCGGGACGGCGATATTGATGCTGGCATATGGTTTGATCAGCAAACGAAACCTTTTTTCTAAACTGATAACTAAGCCTCATGGGAACGCAATTAAAATTTTCAAGGTGGAGATTGCCAAGCAATGATTTTTCGATGGTTGATGTGCCCATGCTAACTTTTCTATTTTCGTCTCTAAATGCGGTCATCGGGTCAGGATATCCTTACCAAATAATCATGCACAGTTTCGACAAAAATCAACATGGTGAGTGCCAGGCCTTAGTTGAGAGGATTGTGTTTGACAGGTGCCATTTGCTGACGGGAATGATAGGTAAACCCTGCATTATTATAACTAAGTACCTTACAACTAATTGTGCAATGTTCCGTACGAAACAAGTACTCTTATTGACCTGATAGACTCCTCTAATGCTCGGTTGCTGTAAATGTAGCATTATTAAAAAGCTATATCACAAAAACCTTCAGAATTGAATCCACAGCAAGGGACTTCATGAAATTGCATATCCGCTGATTGGGCCGCATGGTGTCTCACGAAATGTCTTGTAACGTTTAAAGTGCTTTTAACAAATCTGCCCAAATTGTTATTATACTGAAGTGGAATACCGGAAAAAGCAAACATAATTGTGTGGTTTATCTTCGCTTTTGCATATGGATCCATTGCTCTCTCATCACAAGATCTGCAATGAATCAGACGTTTCTCTTGTCTAGTAAACTATAAGGGGTTTTTGACAAACCGATAAATCTTTTCTGTTTAATACGTTCCACGCCCACAAGATGACATGTCCGGTTCAAATATAACGACAGTCAAACTACACACTACAGACTACCGCTTGTGTCGTTTCTTACTGTCATTGCAATCTCCGTTTATCGCTTTTTTAGCAAAGCACAATTTGCATCTTAAAAGGCAACTGCGGTTTGCATTCCAAACAACCCCGCAATGGTTCGCATCTGATCCAAAATGAAGTCGTTTATTCTGACATGCCTTTTCCAACAACTACAGCTTACTGTCGCTCATTTGAAACCCAGTTATCTAGCCATTATGCCAGCTGAGATATAAGATATTTCCTTCAAAACTATGCCTCCAAAAATATGAAGGTCTTCTTATAGTCGGAAACTTAAGCCTTTTATACTTCTGTGCGTGAGACAGAGTCTAGCACACGCTTTCGCAGGTAAATGTAAACCATATCGAAATGTATTTTGTAAATTCCCTCGCAGCATAAAGCGGAAGCACAATACCTTTATAATGCGTATGATAAGCCATTACCGAACGGATGAAAAATAAAACTTTGTGAGATTACATAAGAACCGCTTTACCGTTGATGCCAGGGAAAATTGCTGCCCCAAACCGTGTTTGTCCTATTTCTTTTCTTACATTCGAACTGCTTACTCCTCCATCTCCTCCTCTTCCTCATCCGGACCATATTCGTCACCACCATTACCACCATGGCCAACATCGTCAACATTAAACTCAGAATTATCGAGGGAACTTCCGTCAATATCGTTATAAAAAATTTCGGATTTTTGTCCGTTTTGTTTGCCGACATCGTCCAAATCAAACTCAGAATTATCAACGTTAGTATCTTCAAGAACTTCTTCTTCCTCATCATCATGCCCGTGATCATGTCCATCAATTTGATTATCGTCACCGTCCTCCTCATCGTAGCTGTCCTCTTCATCGTTATTCTTTTCAAAATGATGGCCGGTCTCATCAACATCATTTAGCATTTCCTCCTCCTCGTCGTCCTCGAGAATATTTTTTTCATTATCCAGTTGGTCGGCTCCAGGTATCAAAAAGCCACCTTTAGCCGACAGGACAAATAGCAAAAGTAGTGCAGCAAGAAGATAACGGAGACCCATGCTTTTCGCCTTAAACAAGTAGAGAGCTAAACGGTGCCTTTGGCGGTGCAATATATAGTTGTTGCACAATCCCACGCCAGCGAATAGGGAAATAGCATTTTGAAAACGGCGACATTTTAAGTCATGAAAGTCCCTACCTTTCACGCGCTTAACGATTTTTTCATTCCCTTCCTTCACTTAGCTGGCCAATGTTGTCCACAAGCGTATGCACAGTTATAGTGACGATGAAGATCTCTGAAGCACGCATGAAATATGCTTCCGCGGACAACTTCAGTTAATGTTATTGTAGGAGAGATTTGAAATAATCAGTCGAAATATCAGAAAATGGAACGATGAATAACTCGTAGTAGTGTCCGAAAACAGTCTTTAATCGGCTGCCAACACTGAGCATTGCGTTGGCTTAACACTCAGCCTGACATGGCTTCTCATGTTAAAACTGGCAAAATTATTTCCTTTTCCGTAACTACCTAGGTATTCTTTTTGCCAATTAGCTACACGTTTATATTTTGTCTTGGATTGCCAGGACTTCTCCCGAAATGAAATAATATCATTGTCGAACATGCTGCTGAATTGCATTTAATTTTGAACGACTTGACTCAAAGCAAACCGTAATAGATAATAACCAATCCCTCTATTGAAACCCTGTGTGACCTCCACATACGGTCAGAAGGGAATTTGGGGTGGATAACAGCTTAACCGCCTGCATCGTGTCAAAAGAGTCTAATATCAATTTAAAAACACCTCGCTTAACAGGAACGCAATTTTAAGAAAAAAATGGCTATCGTTAGGTCATTGGATGAATTCACGAATGGCATGACATCTTCTAGGTATACCTGCAATCAAGAGAGGTTAACACGACTAATTACATCATGCAGTTTCGAAAAGAGGCTGAATACCAGCTGCCACGTAAATAGACTATCGATTGATCCTTCATGACACTGTCTTCTGAGGGCTGAATATGTTTTGCGAATATCATAAACACTATTCATTTATATGGAAGAGCAAGTGCAGAATAGAATTTTCTTTGCTAGTGGATGATGGACCGCCACGAAGGCTTTCCAACGGTAGTATATTAATCGAGGTGGGATACGTTGATAAAGCGTTGTCCTAATTGTTATTAAATTCAGAGAGGACAAATCCAATCACATCTTTCCATCATCGGGTATTTATGGAGGAAAATCGAACTAATGTGCATGTAAACATGGAATGATTAAAAGCGATAAATGGAATGTTTGTGGTTGTTTCGCAGCAGATGTTGGATTTCAACTCAAGTCTCACAATGACGAACGTTATCTTCCACACTCGTCGTCATACTGCCGATGCCCCGCTGACCTTCATTACGTTCACCATAGTCTCTCCCGCAGCAGCTGTGTTGATTAATGCGACTGGCTTCCCCAACAATACCGCTTCTCTCGTTGCCATAACCAACGATATGGCATCCGGCATCTCCTCAGCAACTGACTGTAATGGCCCGGTCAAAATTTAGGTTGGCGTCTAACCCTATTGGGCTTAAAGACTTATGTGGGTGGGCTATGCATTCGCATTCTGTTTTACGCTAAGAAGTACGTTATACATACACACCCGCTGTTGAATGCGCTTATGCTCTGGCTGTGTAAGCAAGTTGTGTGCATATTTTGACCAGTGATTTGTCATAATTTTGCTCTTTCGGGCTCATTTTCTTTTCGATCGAAATACTGGTCAAATGTTCGTCAGGGACTAAGTGATGTGAATTAGCGCACCGAGATGCGGACGCTGCGGCGCCCGCAACCTTCACACGCTCCGGCCTTTAGCTTTCTTAACTCTGTCTTGATATCGATTCTAAGCCTGGTCGGCCACTTGCGAATCCATGATACTGTGACGGGTGCACCAATGCCCGAAGTCCCAACATACACTTTCCACGCCCTGCTCTACTGCCCACAATGTACACACTCATTCACTCCTCGCACGGGCCTATTTGGTCCCAAATAAATACGGGAGGATGAAGACAAGTACAATCATAACACTCCTAACACGTCTTTCGTATTCAACAACTTTCCTATATGCAGCAATAACATTTTAAGATCCATCAACACAAACACAGGCAATAGATATATCACCTATCAGCGGTTTTACCACCTCGGAACTATCATGCTTTTACTGGTACCGCACATGTGAATCACGCAACCGCCTGTTGGCCGATTGCGATTCCAAAGCAAAGACATTGATGAATTAGTGCCAAGCGCATCAGTATACACGTATTAAACTCACTTAAACTGTTCACATTTTCCACGCTCATTTATTTGCCTCATATGCTTATTAGGCTAAATAGTCATCCATGAAATCTCGCGATAGAGCGCCTCCTGCTATAGTAGACATTCAGAACATAATTTCAAGGAGGTAAATGGGACAAAGTTAGACTAATTTAAATACGATTAGGTAGTTTATCAGGGAGAAACAGAGCTATGTCGACGAATGAACGAAGCCTTCCATTAATAGTGGAATAATTCAATAAGAAAATGGCAAACTGCATAAGGCGAGCTGTGTCGGCCGATATCCTTTCAGGCCAGTTTACATGAAAAACACGCCAGAAATAAAGTGTCCATTGTTAAATATGGCCAGTGAAAGTGATGCCACGGGAATGTTCCAAGTTCACTGCAGCAACTAAGCTGCAAGACTGCATTAATAATCAGTTTGAATCCATGCAGTAACCCCCTGACATCATCCACATAAAGCAGTATGAAGGACCTGATACCTGGGTACACCTGGTTTCGAAAGAACGCAATTATGCACAGCCAAAGTTATTATTGACAGGGATGTAATTCTAGTGTGGACACTGAGGGATGTTACATTATCTGTATCTGCTACTCGTGCCTACAGATGGGTCCCAGTGCATTTTAAAACACAGAGCACTAGATATTTGAGATAAAATTCAAATTCAGTTGCGATTTTATAGTTCTTATTAATAGAGGTATTCGTGCCACTAAATATGACTCCAAAATAAGTTCTGAGTCATTGCAAATTACAAATAAAGGGCTTGCAGTTTTTCAAGCAGAAATGTGGATGCAGTTGAAAAGACAGCAGAAAAGCGCACAGTTTTAAAAGACCACAAACTACTTGGAAACCGCTAGTACTTTACATTTTGAAGTGGGCCTAACCCAGGGGCTACGCCAATAGTGAATCACTACTGTTTAGGTCAAAAAATATGCCCTCGTGCAGTGCGGACGTGGAGATAAATAATATCGCATTACCTGATTGGCGGCTGTCATTTTAAACTCGACAAAATTTGCCAGACGAATGAAAACAAAATGTTAGGCAAGGTACCAGGGGTGTCTAAGTGGGATTTGGGCGTTTCCGCAGACTGCACAAAAATTTTCACTAACAAGAAATTCCAATATCTGTACAGGCATGACTGTTCGCCCTTTGTATCAGCCAGATATATGAGACGCGTCTATACAGTCAACGACCTTCCGACGATATTTTACGTGAACTCAAAATTGCGATGAAAGAACTAACGCGCAAGTCGTCCGACCGTGCTATCTGATATTTGACCTTTGCCTTCCGTGCGCTCCACTCGAATAGGCAACTGCGTTGCGATTGAACAAGTGTAGCAGACACACTGCCAGTTTAAGGGTTTCTACTGAGGCGTGAAACCGTTCTCCCGAACCCCAATGAATTGTTGCAAACGTAGTCCACTAGGACAGTTCTGGCGAAGGCATTAGGCTTGGTTAATCACAGCGCAGGGAATAAATGTCTGTGCGCCTAACCTTTTCAATGAAGCAGGAAGAACGTCTGGTTTGAACAGTATGCCTGCTGATGTCGACGGTGAGAAACGCGAGATGCGATACTTATAAGACTAAGCTAAGAAGACTATGGAAGTGCGAATCTCTTTCATTATTCACGCCGATTTAATACACGTAAAATGTCCCCGTACGCAGCTGTAATTCTAACATATTTATGTGACAGTTCCTCATTAGATCCAAGCCAGACATACGAAAGAATGAAATACAGTGCGTGACCTATCACACAAAATGTTTGCTGAAATTCTGAAATGCGTTTTCAGTTAGCACGAATTCTTTGGTCGCAGTTGTGATACTGATTACCTTAAGGCATATTCTTATTACATTTTTAACTCGGCAGAATGTCGGCTTTTAAATGCACTTCTTTTCAATCTCCTGTAGGAAGCGTGCTTGGTAAAAAATGACTACTTATGTATCATGCATTTTTCCCATTGATTTTCGATGGTCTTGGAAATTCTAATCTATTTTATAGAAACCACAAACAAAAATATGATTTCTTTTAGCCAATCACGACAAACAGACAAACAGCCTCCTAGACAAAGCCGAACAAGCTACAAGTGTTCAGGGGAGGCGACAAACTTCGGGGGGTAGCTTGATGCAGCACTTTTTGGGCTTGTTTACCTTTATTGAGCTTAAAATAATCCTTACCTCCAATTTGATCGGAAACATAAACATGCGTTTACACACCTGGCGCATTTGGTCCACTACCTGGGTCCTACAGATGGGTCATAATCACAACACCGAACCGAAGTTCGTCAGTGTGCCGCATCCTCGGAGTTTGCCCATCTAAAAAAGGCCGACAGTTTCTTGAAGCCATGCACTCCGATAAGTCATGCATCAACGGGCACATCGAGTTAGATGCCACGTACAAGAATGTCAGAGATAAGTGGACGAGACGAAAGCCGATCAATACGGACTGACACATACGACGGCAGCTTACTAGCTGAGGCACCAAATGAGTATTGATTTTGAAGCACGTTTGAAATTTTAATTGTTTTCAGCACATCTACTCTAGTCTGACGACGACACGGGGAACCGACGTCGAAAATTTACTCAATAAAGTTTTCTTCCTTTCCCAAAGAACGTTTTTGATTTAAATTTATATTTCTTGGGATGCCTGCGTTCCAATTAATTCGTATGAATATGAGGTTATATATATATGAATTTGAAGTAGGCAAGAACGGAAGGATTTATTGGCAGCAAAAAATTTCGCGACTGCTCTTC